CCCTCACCCTTCACCTCTTGAGCTAAGTCAGCGGCCCTTGTAGAGCTGGCTTGTGAGCCCGCAGGGATCCCGCCTCCTGCCAAAGTCACTCAGCTGGCTTCATGTGGAGGAGTGGGGAATCAAACCTGGTTCTCCAGATTAGAGTTTGTCGCTCTTAACCACTACACCAAACTGGATCTAACTTTGGGTACCGTAGCCAAATACTCTGCAAAACAAGAAATGCTTAATTCTACTTGAAAACATAATTACCTCTACTTGAGCTTGGAACTGTCTGAACAATTTCTTCCACAGAAGTCACAGAACCACTACAAAGTGATATAACTGGAAAAGAGAGATTGATTCACAGATTTCTAGCCACATGTACCCCACATAGAACACTAGAACCACATTTTTACTTTATGCATCCTCTCTATACCCACAAGTCCTTACAGCATTATATCCAACTCTACCTTACGGAATGCAGATGGACAGGGAATGTCTTACAGCAGTTCCTAGGGTACAATCCTAAACAGATTTATACCCTTCTAAACCCATTTATTTCAATGTTCTTGGAAAGATGTAACTCTGCTTAGGATCACACAATTAGTCAATTTCACTTGCTGTTAAAAGCCACCAAGTGAAACTGGCAACTCCTTTTCATCTAAAGAAGGCGTGTATTTCAGCACTAACATAAGACAAAAGACCTAGGAAGTGATGGAAGCATTGCTGCAAAGAGGTGGCCCTTCTTTGTCTCAAAGAGCTAGTCCAGCACTCCTGTGTTTGAGAAATACAATGGAGGATTGTTCCTCCCCTGAAAACTAACTATTTATAAATGAAATTGAAAAGTACTGAGACTAACGAGGGATTACAGCTCTCATACTTTTATTAGTGCAGAACAAGACAACTTTAGCCAGCTCACAGGCCGGTTTACATTCCCAATGAAACCACTACCCAAAACACGCCCCCACCGCAATAGGTTATTTACAGTGGCCGAGAGTTCCACAGGCTCTCGGCCGGGAGCCTAGCCCTCTGGTTGGTGCGGGCTAGGATCCACATAGTCCATTGTTCTCCTGATCGAAGCTCGAAGGTTTCGCCTGACCACATGGAGCCCTAGTCTGCCACGGGGTCGGGACTGGATACATTACAGAAATGCAACAAACTACTTTAAGAGTATACAAAATGGCAAAGGCCTATCCGATCCAAGTCATGTCATAAGCAGTGCCCATGGTGGGGGGGGCATCACAATCACACAGCCATGGTGAACACAGTGCCTACAGCTGTAATTGAGATATCAGCTGGGAAAACACAGTTTCTCTGCTACAGAAAATTTGTTCATTAAGATCCTCTGAATAATGGACTAAGCATGCTTTTGAAATAGTCTATTATTTATTTATTTACTTTATTTATACCCTGCCCAATGGGGACCCAAAGTGGCTTACATCATTTACCTCACCTTCATTTTTATCCTCACAATAACACTGTGAGGTACCGTAGATTAGGCCAAGAGTGTTTCCATGGCAGAGTGGGGATTTGAACCTGGGTGCCCCAGATCCTAGTTTGACACTTTAACCACCACATTGAATCAGCACACAGAACTGTCACAACTATCCTACGAGCAGGTCACAGGTCTGCAAGGTAGCAGGCCCTACTCCAATAATGAAGTGTCTGGGACAAGGGAATAAACAGGCAAGTTTAGCAGATGTGCGAGGAGATGGTATGTGACATATATAGGCTAAGTGAAAAGGGTTAATATAGTTTAGGAGGGCAAATATTTAAATATATCTTTAAGTACCCACATTTTGTACTTCTCAGTGTTATAGCGGCTCAAACTACTCAGGTATAGCTAATGTTTGTTCTAATTTTAGTTCTGTTCTAATTTTCTGGTCTAGTTCTAATTTCACTTCAGTTTTAGCTGCTCAGACTACAGAGGTGTAGTTAATTTTAGTTCTAAACAGAAGGGATAGTGAGCTCACAGATAAGCCTAAACCTTAGGCAGGTTTTCATAATAGAAAAAGGGAAACAAATAAGACAAACTGCAGCTAGGGTTTAAATACAGCTGGGGCTTTAAAAAAAGGGGGGGGTCCAATTTTAAACTAAATCTAAAAATTTAAGCTAATTCTCACATTTTTTATAAGAAGGGTTTTTTT